TACCACCGAGACTCTCCTCTTCCATGGGTCCACATACATCAGAATATACCATCTCCAACACATTTTCTTTCAGCTTCTAGGTTTTGCTGAAAGACACTCTATGATGCTTCCCAAAGAGACAATAATCTCAAGGATTTAGTTTTGAATCTTTGGCAAACGGGATGAGGGACTTTCTTGCCAAAATTTGCAATCCTTTTTCACCAATATGAGCCAGTCTTTTGTGCCACAAATTTGGCGAAGCATCATCCTCGACTGCATTTAGTCCACCCTTGATCAGCTTCACTTGAGTTCTGTATAGTGTTGATCTCACTGTACCTCTAGCAGCTAACAATGATCCTTTGGTAAGCCTCCATGTGCCGCTACCAAAATTGTTAGTATAGCCTGCTAGATCCAATGCATGAACAGAGATCAAATTCAGACGTAAGTTAGGTACATGTCGCACGTCCTTCAGTGTTATTGTGCACCCAATATCAGTTTGAATGCACACATCACCAACTCCCACAATATTTGCTATGCTGTCGTTGCCCATCTTTACTCTACCAAAGTCTCCTTCTTTGTATAGAGAAAAGAATTCCTTATGAGAGGTTGCATGGTAAGATGTTGCTGAGTCAACGACCCATTCAACACATGAATCTGCAACGTGACACTCTTCTTCTTCAACAGAGAGCAACACCACTTCCCCATTGATCACAGGGGTTGCGGTATTTTCATCGTTCTCTGATTTGTTGTTCCTCCGATCTCTGTTCTTCCAAGCTTTACAGTTTCTTTTGATATGCCCTTCTTCACCGCAGTGATAACACTTGAATTTTCTTCTGGGTTGAGATTGTGATTTATCTCTGGATTTGTTATTCCGGCCTCTGCTTTTACTTTTTCCCCTGGTTTCTGTGACCAGGCTTTGAGAGCTGCTTGCCCCGGAATCTTTTCTTCTTGTTTCTTCATTAAACATATTGTCTTTGACTTGGGCCAAAGTCAGTTTTCCTTCAGGAGCAGAGTTGCTCAACGAGACCACCAGAGTCTCCCAGTTATCCGGTAAAGAACGCCTGCAGTTCTTCATCAAGTTTCATCTCCATGGTAACAAGCTGGTTTACCATGTCTTGAAACTCATTCAAGTGTTCTGCAACTGATCTTCCATCCCGATATTTTAAATTCACAAGCTTTCTAATAATAAAAGCTTTATTTTGTGCAGTCTTCCTCTGATACATCTGCTCGATTTTGTTCCACAGAGTATGGGCTTTTGACCCTGTGGCAACATGGTGGAATATGTTGATATCCACCCACTGTCTGATTAAACTGACAGCCTTCCTGTGTAACTTTTTCCAATCTTCATCCTTCACGTCATCTGGCTTGTTATCTCCCTTTTCTACAGGATCATACAGATCTTTGTAGAAAAGTATGTCCTCCATTTTTGGCTTCCAAATGGAGTAATTTGTTGCTGTCAGCTTCACCATGGTACCCACGTTCTCCTCCATTTAATTTACACGGGTTGATTCAGAGCCCAACTTGAGCTCTGATACCACTTGTTGGGCTCAGATGTACAAATGCGGAAGGTGTAAATTAAAACACCAACGTGAAATGGTGAAAAAAAAATAACAATCCCAGCAACTCAAGAATAATAATAAAAAAATCTCTTGCAATCAAATAGGAATAATTCTTTTCTGATGTGGAAGATCAGATTAAACTGCAACCACAGAGCATACTAAGAATATCCCAAATAAATAAAATATGCAAGAAATAAGACACCAAGATTTAACGTGGAAAAACCTCCAATTAGAGGAAAAAACCACGGGACAACCTCCGAACAATTTCACTATATTTTCAAGATAATTACAATATCTTTTCACACTCCCTTACACTAGAAATGTAAAATATAGTGACCCAGTGAAACCCCACTCCTATTCAAATATTACAAACAAGGAGTAATAGAGATGATACCCAACCCGGTGTATTTTTCCTACACTCACAGGATTTACTCAAACACTCTAATTTTACAACTCACTGAAAAATCTAACACTCCAGGAACTGAATATTTTGTTCCTATTATTTTTCTCTCTTGCTTGGTGTGTCTTCAGCACTGCTGAATGCCTTCTATTTATCGGGACGAAAATACATGTGAACAGATGAAGCCTTCCTCGCTCTTTCCAAAATGAATTGCACCTTTCATTTTTTATTATTTTTTTTTCTTTTGTTTTCTTTTTTCACCGAAAGTGGCCGCTCCACTTCTTTGTGGCTGGACCCCACACAATAAGCTTATTTACATCATTAATATCAGTCAATCTCATTCAACTGTTGCTTCACGTTGTTAAATCTCTCTTGGTCAGTCAAATCGTCAACCACATAGCGACAAATATAACCAGAATCAGGCTAAATCCATTTGCATCTGCACTGGAGTGAAATATGGACAAATACTTACAAGGATGACATGAGCCGCAAGGTTCCAGAACAATTATTCAAGTTCATAATCAAGCATGCACAAAAATCCAAATACATGGTCCAGTCTCCAATATCAATAATAACATGTCTCGCAACGAGATAAATGATAAATAAACAAGCGGAAGCAGTAACAGTTCGAAAATAACAATTAATATGACCCCGTATCGCTCGTCTTTTGCCACGGCTACCAGAACCTGAAAAGAAGGAAATAATGGGAGTGAGCGGTCATCATGCTAACTGTGGGAATACCATGCAGTATAATCAATATAATTACTTAAAATCATAATCTCAGCATGTAAGCAAATCGTCTAGTCCCTACCTTCCTAACAACCTTACGCTCATGTGATCACATCTAAACCGTCGGAGAAACCCATCAACGGGAGAATACTCTCTATAGGCTAAAGTTAGGAGAATGTCAGAAAAACCCATCAACGTGAGAACCTCTCATAGACTAACGGTTCACATGCCTACATTGATTATCAAGCCAAACAATTATATCAATTAACATACACGGTAAGGTTTATCAACACCCACCTGGTCAGTCGAGGTAGGTAAAACGCACAAGAAAAAACGTAGGCCGAGGGCTCGACTCCTCAAACACCTACATTTAGCGAGATAATATATCAATAACCTATCTCAATTAAGGGTTATTATCGATTTTTTTTTCGTGGACTTGGAACTCTCGAATTTTAAAAAGAAAAAGACTCAGAAAAGAAAATGTGGCACGAGACTTAAAAATAATTTCTCCCAGATTTATCTCATTTTTATAAAATTATTACATTGGTTTCGGCATGAAAAATATGCTCCCGTTACACAAAATACGTAGCTGAGGCGCGCTGGGAAGGCCCACAGACACTAATGGTCAACACAGGCCGCTGAATTGGGGCTCGCACCCCAAAATTGGGCCGCAAAATAAAAGTCTGGCCCAACGCTTAAAGGGTTGAAGTCACGCGGGCCAAGACAGCCCGCGCGCCTTCTGCTCCTCTGCTGGGCTGCGCGCCATTGGGCTTCCTTGAAGTAGGTTGTGCGTTCGGGCTTCTACATTTCCCAGAAATTGGGCCGCTTGGCAAGCAAGCAAAAAGGGCTTGTGGCATAAAATAAAAAATAAAATAAAATAAAAAAATAAAAAAAAAAGGCCATAGGTATTGGGCTTGGAAAAGGTCTGATAAATGAATTGGTTTTTCTCCCGTAGGTTTCAACTGAATACAGAGGCTGGGAGGAAGACGACGCTGGCGACGAATTTTTCGACAGCAGAGTTTCACGGGGTTAAAAAATAAAGATGTTACGACAAAAATAAAAATTCCCAGAGTTTGAAAATTAAATAAAATCAGGTTTTGGTTCGAGAAACGTAACGTCGGTTTAAAGGTTCGGGAAGACAAACGATCGACAAAATCGACTACGACTCAAAAAACAAAACGAGGTTCCAAAATTGTACGAGAATATACACAGCAACAAAAGCTCGATTTAGCAACGAGAGTTCTAATTGACACGATTAATATCACGAATCACAACACTACTAACAACACGAACCGAATATATACCGACTTCAACCACCAACGACACTCGAGTCACCGAACACGAAATAATTGAACGATATCAAACCCGAACAATAATTAACGAGAAGGTTTCGATCTAAGAATACCTTTCTTCGGGAATCTTCAAGTTCGATCAAAAATCGGACAAGACGGACGGACGAACGGAACTCGAAACCTCTCAAAATCTCGGACTGAAACTCGACGAATGGTAGCTCGATGATCGAACCGAGATGCTGCTGAGGGGTCGGCGACGAACGGACAACGGCTGAGACTTGGGCACGAACAGGACGGCCGGTGGAGTTGTAGGTCGCCGGAAATAATGGTGGTGGCTGCTGCTGTAAACTCTATCGACGGACGGCTGAGAGCGAAAAGGACGCCGGCTGCTTACTCAACACGACGCTGGAAAATAATGCTGCTCGGAGAATATGCCCGCGACAAGATGCTCGGAGAAGAAGAGCTCGCCGGAAAAAGGTAATTTGCAGGTGGCGATAATTTTTTTTTTTTTAACTGCGAAGATGAAGAACAAAGTTTAGGTTTGATCGATTCTGATCCTGATTGAACTCCTGGCCGAGTCTTACGAAGAGGGACGAGAGAGACGTGCGATGCCGATGAGATTTTCCTGTGAAAACGGTTTCGGCGAGAAAATATCTTCTCCCAGAACGTAAAAAATTTTCCCACGTGCAAGACAACAAAGATGGGCCAAGGATAAGGAAATGGGCGGAAATAATTCCATTGGGTTGGAGATACATTTTGAAATTGAGCCACCATCAACTCAAATGAGCTGGAAAAATAAGGGAAACTTTTATGTATACACAATGTTTTATAAATAATTGCATCATTACGAAGCCAAATATTTTAATTTCAAACTTACCAAATACATTGAAGTTAATTGTTATAATGGAATATATCAGTTATCACAGAGAAAAAAAAAAAGATCAAGTGTTCTTAACTTGCGGGATTATTTTAATCTCCCGTGGTTTCAGATCTAACCTCCCACCATTGCCCCTTCGCCCACACACCCATCCCCACCACTGATCACCTAATCTCCACCGCGTCGTATTTTCGCCGCCGCCAGCACGGGCGATTCCACTTCGCGAGGTACCCGATTGCCGCCACCCCATTCGAGTCGCTCCTCCCACTCCTCTCTCGATGGCTGGCGAGGCCGAGAAGCTTCGTTATGAGCTTGCGGATGCAAAGAAGAGAGTCTTGGCCGCGGTTTTGGGTCTTAATCTGGGTTCTAAAATGAAAAACGATTAAACATCGAGAGTATATTTTATGTATATTTTATGTATATGTGTGTCTTGATCTGTCATTACTTGAATTTCGAGAATCTCGAGTGTATATCTTATGTATATTTTATGTATATGTGGGTTCTGAAATTGATTTTGAGAAACTCTTGAAACTCGAGTGTATATTTGAAGTATACTTTATGTATATGTGTGTCCCGATCTGTCGTTGGCATGCATTACGAGAATCTCGAGTGTATATTTTATGTATATGTGTGTTGTATATTTTTATATACTTAACATAAACCATAGATAAACAAAATCAAGCACAAATAATTTTTTTTATTAAAGTCATATAATCTTGACATAAAAAAAAATGAGATAATTACTCCCTAAATATATACAGTAGGGTTTGAAGTGGACGGTGTTTGTGGGAGAGAGAAAATGGAAGAAATTGTGTTGAAGAGAGAGAAAATGAGTTTGAAGGGGACGGTGTTTGTGGGAGAGAGAAAATGGAAGAAATTGTGTTGAAGAGAGAGAAAATGGACGAATTTGTATAGAAGAACGTGGACAAATTGGCAATTATTGTGTTAATGGAGATATCCCTCTTACCATATGCCTCGGAAACCGTTTTTGGAGCTAATAACTTTTCCATTAATTTAGCTGCTAATTGATTATATAATTTATATATTGATAACCGAAATCTAGTAAAAATGCAAATATGACCATGATTTTTTGCTATAATGCTAATAGTTTCATCGGATGTTATTTGTGTAAATAAAGTTAAACATTCTAGTGGGTGCAATTTCCTCAAAAGGGGATATATCTAATTGGACCGATTATAATAGCAGAAGAGTCGAAAATGCAAGAAGTATTGGGCCAAAATAACATATCTAAGGTTCGGATAAAAAAGCCAAGGAAATTGGGTTGAGACTGATCGAAGATAAATTCTAGGCGATAGAATCGAATTTATCGAACGACTAATCTAATAAAGAAACTAATCTAAAACAAGCATACACACAACAATACAATAAAGTAAATCACATAATCTATATCTATATAAATATAAAAAGGTTTGACAATTACTTGAAATAGAAATTAAAATCCCGCCTAAAATTTTCATTTTTATCTTTATTAGTAATTTTTTGAAAATTTTTGAAAAGTGACGGTCAATTTTTTAAAATTCAAATTAAAAAAGTTAATAAAATTGATTTACAAAATCATTTTGGTCAATTACTGCGGCTATTACTATATTAGTTGCATGGTTTAAATTTGGTATATAATATATTGACAATGTGTAATATACTTGGTATATAATATATTTGGAATATATAATAAAAAATAAAATAGAATATTATGATTATGTTAGATGCTTTAATTATTTCCTCATACGAATTCAGTCATTATTAATGGAATCGGTAGTGGGAGATCAATTTGTTGATTTATTCATTTTGTTGTATGTTAATTTGTGCGATTTCATTAATAAAAATATGTGGGAAATTTTTAAAAAATAAAAAATAAATCCGATCATGTTGAATATAATAATGTCTACGCATAACTTGATTCAAGTTGCTTAAGACATCCACTAACTTGATTCAAGATGTTAGTGCCTCTGATTGTGTTAGATTTATATTTTGATTTTATTTATATAAATTAGTTTTATGAAAATTTAATGAAGTTGTGTTCTTTATCTATTTTAATAAAAAATGAATGTGTATTTAATAGTTAACTAAATATGCATAAATTAAACTTCACATCTTACTGCAATTATCGTGAGTTAGTTTTGGAGATTTACAAATTCACGGATATAAAAATATATTTGTGTATATAAAATATGATATTTGAATATAAAAGTTTTTAAACATGTTGAAATTGTATAATTATCTAATTACAAACTTATAAAGCAATGTTTTTATTATTTTTATATAATATATTTTGTTATCTCATATCCATTTAAACTAGTACGTAGCTCGTGCGATGCACGGAGCAATAATTATAATTGAATATATTAAAGGAATGAACCAATATTGTTCAGTATAAAAGTAATTTTGAATAATAATAATTATTTATTATTTTATTGATTGACATATAATAATTTAATATATAATTTATATGCTATAAAACAATTGTCATTTTATAAAATGAAAGGTGAGAATATCTTGATCTATATATAAATTGAAATATAAAAGTAATACCATTTATAATATCAGTGAAGGACATATGATTTGAAGCATTTGATGAAATGGTGGTCCTGACACCTTATTAAATGATAGTTTTAAAGCATTTGACACCATCAGAAAGAAGCAAACTACGTACTAATTAAATGATAGTTTTGTCTATGTAAAAAAAAAAAAAAAAAAAAAAAAAAAAAAAAAAA